CCACCCAACCCATGGTGAGATCCATCTGTCCTGATATGTCAGCTTTGAGTGAACTGACCCTGAAGGCAACCCAATGCCAGCATAAGTCTTACTCCTGAGTGTTGTTCTAGGCAGAAATAATAGGGAAATGTCAACTTTATGCTGGTTTTCATTTTCCAGGGAAGTCACCGTGTCATGCTCACCGAGGTGCTTTTGTTTGCTCGTTGAGTTAATTTTTTCCGTTCTTAAGTTTCATGTCAACAAACAGGACTCGTAAATCTACCTCATCGCCTGTTCTTGCGACACTGTCAACTAAACCGTTCCAAATTCCAGGCTGGCTTCCTGGTGGCGGCCATTCCTCGCCTCGGCCACAAGGTGGCACCCCAGCCCTGCCACTGGAAGGAGACAACGACTTCTTCTAAGGCAGGCATGTCCAAACTGCGGCCCTCCAGCTGTGGTGGAACTACGAATCCCATGAAGCATCTCTCTCCGGGAGTCATGTCTGTGGCTGTGACAATCTTGCAAAGCCTCATGGGATTCGTAGTTCCACCACAGCTGGAGGGCCGCAGTTTGGACATTCCTGTTCTAAGGAAACTTGCACTGAGGAACCATGGACTCCACCAATCCCGGCCACTGTTATTTTCAGTATTGGTGGACTCCATAGTTCCAGCGCCTCCATAATCCAGTGGCTTCAATACCTTAAGGCACCGACCCGAACCAAGCTCAATATTCACGAGTCATGACTTTTGCTCTGACTTCACTTGGTGCATGCTGGTTCTAGGTCAGTGACTCAGATATAGAAGGCAGATACAGCCAGGGCACTGCTATAATATCCTTTGTGACTTTTTATAAACAGACCCCCATTGTTTGCTGGGGAACAAAACACCCAAATGTGTCTGGATGACTCAGTCTTGTCTGACTTTCAACTCCTACGAGGTCACCCTCCGCTATGACATCATCAGTGGCTCGCCATGACGTAATCTCACTTTTGAGATGCCGAGTTGTCAGTAGAAGTGACTCACCCTGAACGTCTCTTTGGGGGTTTTTGTCTCTATAACGGTGAACGGACGATTTCCAGCACTCACCAAGGGCCCCAGCTAACAGGGGCCCTAAATAAAACCTAGAAAATTGTAAAATCTGCGCTTGTGGGTAGGTACAGTATAAAAGCTGCTGCGATATGGACCCTAGGGTCACCCTAAATAAAACCTGCCTCTCGCATTGTCATAGTTCATTGATGGATCTGCTGGGCTCCTGTGATGAGTGCTTCCTCTATGATGCCATCTGCGTGTGAATTCATAAGAAATGCAATCAGATTCCAGGAAGTCACATCATGGAAATCTGGTGTCACGGTGAGGCAATAACTCAACACGGGAGACAAGCATGACCATGGCCCCTGGCTGAGCACCAAGAAGGGCGCAGCGCTGAGTGCCTGCCGTTAGATTACATATAAGTCATGTCTCAGGTGGCCTAGGTGCATCTAAACCCAAAATGTTTCTAGTTATGGATAGAGTAGGGAAAGGTAAGATCCCTGTTAATAGGTGGGAGGAGCTCCTGAAATCTGTGGTAGATAGTTGGTTCAACCTCATCTGGAGTACGCGGTCCAGTTCTGGTCACCAGTAGTAAGAAAAGATGTCCTTGAGTTGGAAAAAGTCCAGCGGAGGGCAACCAAACTAATTAGGGGTATGGAGGACCAGAGCTACGAGACGAGGCTACTAAATGTAAACATGTTCACATTAGAGGTGAGGAGATTGAGGGGGGATATGATTTCCATGTACAAAATGTTTAATGGTGGCAGCAACATTAGCGATAAACTGTTTAAAATTAACTCCGTTACAAAAACTAGAGGCCACCACCTAAAATTGGTGGAAAAAAAATTCCAGCACAAGGGGCGAAGGGGGTTCTTCACAGTAAGATCAGTTAGGGTCTGGAACTCACTGCCACAGGCGGTGATTTCAGCAAATAATGTGGAATTGTTCAAGAAACTTTTGGACGATTTCTTAAGGGACCGTAATATACAGGGGTACGGGTACTCCTAGAATGAGATCCTAATAGGTTGGACTTGATGGACTAATGTCTTTATTCAACCTCAAATACTATGTATAGTCTGTGGAGGTAAGTAGGCAGCTTTCTGAGCCTGAGGACCCTTTTAGGGCGATCCGTCTTCAGATATGGAAATAAAAAAGCACTCCAACTGGTTTATTTGTGAGCAACAGGATATGGCAACATGTTTCCGGGTTTACAAGGATCCCCCTTCTTCAATTCTGAGGATTGAGATCTGGACTGGGCTGGAAGGTCAAAGGAAAAGGTCATCTCCAACCCGGAGGGATCTCTGCTCCTTGCCTGGAGATCAGGGGGTGAGGGTGGTCAGGAAGAGCTGGTGGAAGGTTCTGCTCTTCCCCGTCTCTCTCTGTGTGCTGTGACCAAAGTCTCTTCTGGGCCGGAGATTACCTCCTCTGATCCTCCGGGCCAGTCCAGATCTCAATCCTCCGGGTTTTGTTGCGCGCCCCGAAGAAGAAGACTTGAAAGAACGTTTGCTGACCTTCTCCCCCCCCGAAACACGTTCACATATCTCATTGATGACAAACAAGCTGATTCTGGACCAATAACAGAGAGTTTCCTCTTTTATCCTCCAACATGTTTCACTGTCTGTGTTCCTGAGGAGACCCCCCGCCGTGTCATTGATGTGAACTCCAGAACAAGGGGTGAGGGGAATCTTCCAATAGGGACGCCAGTTCTGGTGACGAGCAATGGAGGAGTTCCCCTCACTTTGGAGAGGTCTTCCTTCATTTCCTGTTGTGTCTCCTGGACAGGATGTGAAGGGAAGACACAGGGGTAAGAACATTCCATACCTGACCCCCCCCAAAAAAAGTCTAATTAGTTACAATTGAACTTGTTTAATCTCTTTCATTCATATGATGTGATCAGGAGACAGGTTCTCTTTTTCTGGTCCCCCCTGCTGGGTGGTGTTGGGGACTCTGATACACTGACATTGTCTCTCAGTCATTCCCGGGTGAGGATCTCCTCGTCCTCCCTTCCCAGGTCTTTGTCCATCCCGGTACCTTCCCTCACTGCAATCCTTCTAGTCATCCGGCTGGACTGTGATTGGTCAGACGTTGGGGGGGAAGGAACACCAATCAGATCCTTTTATTTTGGTTACATCGAAACAATTTATCAATGTGTTTTATTTGTATCCTGTTACACACATGTAATGTTCCTCTATGACCGCGTGTTGTCACCTTGTATTGTGTTGTTACATTGTATTGTGTTGTCACATTGTATTGTGTTGTCACATTGTATTGTGTTGTTACATTGTATTGTATTGTGTTGTTACATTGTATTGTTATATATATATCAGCTTGTGAACAATAACAGGAACCTTCCAGGTGACAAGGAGCAGATCTTCCATTGCAGGAGTAAAGTGAATGTCCGTCTCTGGAGAGGGGAAGGGGGAGAGCCCCTGTTGGGTTTTTATTGCTATCCAGGACTCCGTTAGGGAGACTTTCCCAAGCTTCCTGTCCTGGGTGACAACAGGCTCACCAGACAGGACGTGAGAGGAACTCTCCAACAGCAACAGAGAGTTCTTTTTATTTAAGTACAGGAAGCTAGAACCACTGCAGATTTTTATTGCTGTCTGCGTCCTGTTACAGATTTTCCCTCACTTCCTGTCCTGGGTGACAACAGTCTCCTCTGAGAGGAACTCTCCAACAGCAACATATATATATATATAGATATTAAAGTAGGGTAGGGGAAGACTAAAATCCCTTTCAGATTTCTAGTTCTGTCTGTGCCCCATTACCGATTTTCCCTCACTTCCTGTCCTGGGTGACAACAGGCTCACCAGACAGGAAGTGAGAGGAACTCTCCAAGAGCAACACATATTTCTTTCTTTTTTAAAGTAGAGTACAGAAAGCTAGAACCACTGCAGATTTTTATTTCTGTCCGCATCCTGTTACAGATATTTCCCTCACTTCCTGTACTGTGTGACAACAGTTTGACCAGGCAGGAAGTGAGAGGAACTCTCCAACAGCAGCACAGATATATATATATAGATATTTAAGTAGGGTAGGGGAAGGCTAGAATCCGTATCAGATTCTTAGTTCTGCCTGTGCCCCATTACAGATTTTCCTTTACTTCCAATTGCAATCCACGATCCCGGTAGAGAGACTTTCCCATGCTTCCTGTCCTGTGTGACAACAGCCTCACCAGACAGGAAGTGAGAGGAACTCTCCAACAGCAACACAGACAGATTTATCTTTTTAAGTATAGTAGAGGAAGATAGAACCACTGCAGATTTTTATTTCTGCCTGTGTCCCTGGTACGGATTTTCCCTCACTTCCTGTCCTGGGTGACAACGGTGTCACCAGACAGGAAGTGAGAGCAACTCTTCGACACAGACAGAAATATATGTATAAGTAGGATAGTGGAAGGTTAGAATCCCTATATAGACTTCTAGTTCTCTCTCTATGTCCCTGTTGCAGATTTCCCTTCTGTGGGTGAAACCGTTGCCACCAAGACAGGAAGTGAGGGGAATTCTCTCTAATGGTGTCCCTGTCAGCAGTACAAACCCCACAGGGGTTCCAATCCTTCCCCCACTCTATCCAAACCTAGAACAAAGAATGGAGGTCATTCATGGGGTAGTGAAGAAAGATCCAAGGTGACGATGGCGGCTCCCCCTATTCTGACCCCGCGGGTTCACTTTAAGCACTTTATATCGGCCAATCAGAGAAGTCGGTCCTAGGAGGGGCGGGGTGATGGGGGGTTCCTATCGAGCAATTCAGGGATCAATTGTTATTTATTTATTGGTTTTATATGTTATTATTATTATTATTATTATTGTGTCACCAGCAGAGGAAGTCAGCGGCGCTTTATATTCTGCAGAGCATTCCTCCCGGCTGCATGGAGTCAGCAGCTCCGGACACTGGGGGGGGGGCTGCAGAGAGTTATTCCGCCTGTCACACCCGGGGGGCGGATGTGCTAATACATTGCATAAGTGACCACACACACAGGGAGGTTCTCAGATCCATGTGACCTACCAATAGCAGCGCAGTGTGAGGGTCACGTGATCTGCATACAGAAGCCGCTGCTGGTCCCCGTGTTCCTCGGGCAGGTGACAGGTCCTCTTTAGTACAGGGATATTATTGATACATTGTTGCGTTTTGTATTTGGGATTTTTGTATATTTATAATATTTATACAAATAAAAGATATTTTTGGTTACAGATTCGTTCAGTTTGAGATTCATTGCGAGAAGGAAACCACAAAATAAGATTATTTCCAGCGTATTTAAAGGGGAACACCGCCCCCAAAAAATGAATAATCAGCCCATTGAAATAACAAACTCAGTGATTTCTGCAACGTTCACCTTCCATGCAGAGATTTACTTTTTTCTGCCACTAGAGGTCCTCTGTCTGCTGATGGCATGGAGTCAGCAGCTCCGGACACTGGGGGGGGGGGCTGCAGAGAGTTATTCCGCCTGTCACACCCGGGGGGCGGATGTGCTAATACATTGCATAAGTGACCACACACACAGGGAGGTTCTCAGATCCATGTGACCTACCAATAGCAGCGCAGTGTGAGGGTCACGTGATCTGCATACAGAAGCCGCTGCTGGTCCCCGTGTTCCTCGGGCAGGTGACAGGTCCTCTTTAGTACAGGGATATTATTGATACATTGTTGCGTTTTGTATTTGGGATTTTTGTATATTTATAATATTTATACAAATAAAAGATATTTTTGGTTACAGATTCGTTCAGTTTGAGATTCATTGCGAGAAGGAAACCACAAAATAAGATTATTTCCAGCGTATTTAAAGGGGAACACCGCCCCCAAAAAATGAATAATCAGCCCATTGAAATAACAAACTCAGTGATTTCTGCAACGTTCACCTTCCATGCAGAGATTTACTTTTTTCTGCCACTAGAGGTCCTCTGTCTGCTGACCAGCATCATTCAACCCACTTCCTCTGAGCCCATGTCATCCCAGCATGTGACAGGACAGTGAAAGGAGAATCAGAACATCTTTCTGTCACTCTGCTCTCTCCTCCTATCAGCAGGAACTGATCGGCTTCTTGTGCTACTTCTTCCTGCCCTTTTCTGAGCTCTGCTGTACAGGGACTGCAAAAGGCTGATACCGGGTACTTACATGTATTAATGATTACACAGCTGCATTCATTTGTGTCTTTTTTTATCTGCCCGGAGTCAGCTTTACAGACAGACCTTTTATTTTTAGTTGGTGAGGGGTTAGACCCTCTGTCAGGTTTATATACCCCCCCTCTCTATTTGTCCTGGGGGTAAGTGATGAGAAATCTAAAATTGTATTGATGTCATCAGAACAGAATGGTGGGGGAGGGGAGGTATATTACTTGGGGACACCTTTCCTAGTGACAACTAAGAGGGGATTTCCTCTCACTTAGGAGAGAGATTTTCCTTTTTCCTGGTGGGTCTCCAGGGCAGGAAGTGAAGGAAAATCTCCCCAAAGGACACAGACAGCCAAAACCAAGAGTTCCATATGGCTTTGTTTATAAACAAAGTCATGTGACCCCCCTCAATGTCAATAATAAAGCGGGGACTGTGCGTCACTAAAACTAAAACAATTGTTATTATTACATCCTTAAAGAGTCCCAAAACCACCAAAAGGGGAACCGCTCTGTGCCGCCGGTGCTCGGGGGTCTTGCCAGTGGTGTCCGGCGGCGGGGTGACACCCGGTGCGGGTATCGGGTCACACCCCGCAGTGACGTAATTGCGTGATGTCACGTGCTGTAAGCGCTGTTACCTGCTGGCGGCCATCTTGGTGTTGGACGCCGGCAGAGAGAGGAGGGGATGATCACGTCTACACTTCCAGTCTATGGGAACCAAAGCATACCTCATCCTGCCGGGTCCCCTCCTCTCTCATGCAGCTGTTGGGGGTGACCCCAAAATGACTGTCACCCCTCCAATGGTGTCCCCCGGGTGCGGGCCGCACCCCTCGCCCCCCCCTTGTTACGCCACTGGAAACACATAGTGTATATAGGAGCTGGTAGACTTGCTACAGGACTTACATTTTTGTATATCCAGCTCTAAGATTTGCACAGCCTTGCCACACAGTGCTGCCCTACTTGAGACCTGATTCTTCTCTGCTGTATTTAAAGAAGAACTCCAAGAATTAGCAAAGTTACAGTCATTCTTGCAGTGGGGCTACCCCTGCACTGCAAAGGTTAACTGTTCGTATTTCTCTAGGGGCCGGAATACAGAAGATATGCTCACATAATCCTCGATCAGCACTTACCTCTCTTCCCCTCTGCCCCTACTGTGGTATGGCCCTCAGAGTCCTCACGTCTAATGCAGGTGAATGGTCCTTCATTAGACATGATGATGTCAAGGGTCCTTAGACCCCTGGAGCCCAGGGGAGAGTAGGCTGCCGGGAACATTCTAGCAGCAAAGTGGGATCAAGGATC